TTTCATTTAGATTAGAGATACATACCTGAGAGTTCTTGTCATCTTCTTCACAATCAGAATCTCCTACTGCCATGAGAGCAGTTTCATCAACTTCAGCATCCGACTCCTCGAATTCATACCCCAAGCATCCATGATTGCATAGCTTTCCTTCTTTGTTTTTTCCTTGGCTTCCTCTTCAGCTTTCTCTTTTTCAGCTCTTTCCTTTCTCCACTCAATTTTCTAGAGTGGACAATCTTTGATCAGGTCATTAGTGTTGTTGCACTTGTAGCAACCAGGTAAAGACTTCTCATTAGAGCTTCGTTTGTTACCGAATCCCTTTTTGTCAAACGCCTTCTCCTTCTTGAGAAATTTTTTGAACTTCTTAGCTAGGAAGGCAATACGTTTATTATCGCCATTAGATTCGTCAGTATCACAAGCCTTGAGAGCCAATGATTTATCTTTGACTAACTCTCATTTCCTTGAATCATCCATATTCATCTCGTATGTCTTCAAATTTCCTACCAACTCATCCAGCGTCATGGTAGAAATTTCTTTGGCCTCTCGAATAACAGTGACTTTGACATTCCATTTGGCCTTATAAAGCACCCTTAGAACCTTATCGACTTGTTCTTTAGTGGTGAGTACTTTTCCTAGTGAAGATAGCTCATTTACTAGTGAAGTAAGTCTGGTTATTTCTCTTGCAGAGTCTCACCATCTTTCATCTTGAAAGTTTCATACTCAGTAAACAACATGGCTACTCTAAACTTCCTGACTTGACTTGTTCCCTCATGGGCATTGATCAGATCCCAAATTTGCTTTGCGATTGAGAAATTTGAAATCTGACTGTACTTGTCAGGACTTGGCCCACACACAAGAATATTCTTAGCCTTGGAATTTTTCTTGAGGGCCAACAAGTCATCTGCTGTAAATTCAAATCTCACTTTTAGAACTTCTACTCCATCCATCATCTACTTGGGAATAACGGGTCCAGAAATAATTCTATCCCATAGTTCGTAATCCTCAGACTGGATGAAGTTTTCCATACGAGCTTTCCACCAAATGAAGTGAGAGCCGTTGAAAAGAGATGGTCAGGTGGTTGACTGTCCTTCACAATGTCCTAGAGGTGGTGCTGAATTCATCATGATCTATCTTAGGTGTTAGCCTTTTAAGATAAACCTGCTCTGATACCACTTGTTGGTTTGCACAACCTAAGGACTTGTCTCTATTTTTGCTTATGAATGAACCAAGTCGTCAAACATGTTCCACTTATGTGAATAAAGCAGTAAATAAAAGAGACAGTGATTTAGAGTGGAAAACACCCGGCTCTAAAGGTGAAAAACCACGACCTGTATTCCACAGGATTTTTCTTCAACTTCACTAACTTCAAAGAGCCTCTTCAAACGGTTGATTACAACTTCTTGCAATCTACGAAATTATAACATCTAACTCCTAACCGTTAGTTCAACAACCACAATATCTTCTTAGCAACACTTACTAGAAGACAAATTGTTCTTGCTTCAGTTTATAACTTACTAAAACAAGAGTACAATGATCACGATCCAAATCACAAACTTCTAGTATAAGAATGGCTAACTCTAGCTTGACTCTTTACTATACAAGTTTGTTGACAACAACCTCACAAAAGAAGATTTCTGTTTTCTCTCTTTTTCAGTGTGCACCATACTCAGAATTCACACTTCTATATATACACAATTCTTCCACATCTTTGCAGCCACATTAGAAGTCTACTTCAAGTAGGAATCCTCTTCAAGTCTATCTCTTGGCTTCCTTTGTTTTTTAATCAAACTGCAATTCTTACAAATCAACACACGTAGATATGAATGATTTAATGCTTATCAACTCCAGATTTTTGCATCCTCGCTCCTAGATATTTTCATCTTATCACACAGCTGTTTAAGCACTTCAATGGACCAACTTTGGTCACCTGTTTCATTATCTTGTCAATCATCAAAACTTCAAAGTCCCAACATTTTTTAATCTCCAGATCGAGTATTTCTGAAGTACAAAGGGGGTTATATCATCTCATGGCATATTGGTGAATTATTGGGCCAAGCTGTATTTGAACCAGCGTAGACATATTTCCAATGAATTTACAGTCCATCCCCATTAGCCGCTCGAGCATTGACCCAGGAAGAATCAATTTTAGACTTATTGGTAATCCATGATCAACTTTCTTTCATAGTACCCTACCCCCAGGGGAATTCGAATCCGTGCTGCCTCCTTGAAAGAGAGATGTCCTAAACCACTAGACGATGGGGGCCTGCTTGACCAACGACCATCATACTATGATCATAATACGATCAGTTTTTTGAAATTTTCAATATAATCGAATGATTCTATCTGAGGGATCTTTCCCCCTTTCAAACTTGCGTAGAATTATTTTTTATTCGTCATTGATGAATTATTCATTAGAATCGCCATTAGAAATCTAGTAGTAGTATTTTTTTATTTTTGAATTATTTCAATAGAATTTATTTCGATTATTTTAGTTTAGATTATTTAG